TAGAAATGCAAAAACAATATAAAAACACGGGGGTGCTTATTTTCGGGTATTTTACAAAATTTGGTGGTGCTTAATTTTGGGGGGTGCTTAATTTCGGAACTATACGGTATTGATAATTTTCATTTAGGTTCAACGGAATTCAAATTATCCATTAATTGAAGAAGTCGAAAAAAATCATATGGGAGAAAATTCGCATATCAACAATAACGATAATATTTAGATGACGAATCAAGTAAAGAAGAAAGCGAATTGGAAATTATAGATAAATACAAAAAAATTCTTTATGAAGTATAACCTATTTATTGTTTTTATCAAATTAAATTATATAGCATAATAAATAAAAAATCTAAATTTGATATCGATACTATTCTGATTTAGGCGCTTGACCTTCTTGAAAAGTATTATAACCTTCCGCAACAAAAAAAATATTGAATGAATATTTTACGTCAATTCAAAAGATGATAGACGACATAAAGAATATGAGCCAAGCGAAAAACCTAGAACACACGAAATAAATACTTTTTATTTTTTAGTAAACTTAGAGTTAGATAAGTTAGGTAAGTTAGATAATAATAGTTTACCAAATAAATTTCGAATTATTTCGAATAAACCCTTTTCTAACGCAATAAAAATTTATGGTATAGTTTGTTAAATAAGGTAATAATTGTTTTCCAAATAAATTTCGAATAAACACTTTCCTTGACGCAATAAAAAAAATTTTAATTATTTAATTTTTATATCGGGTTACGAGATCCGGTTAAGTAAAATCTCAGATCTGACTTTAAACAACGATTATGTAACTGATCAACCCACCTAGTATCGCTACCAAAATCAGTTACGTACGTATAACGGAGCTTAAATTTATTGCCGATATTAAAATTAAAATTAATGATTACTGTAATACAATAATGACAACATTTGATTAACAATTTACGATGAAAATTTGAATATCTTAATTTTCTAAAATATTACACAACTTTATTCATCTTGTCGAATTACGAAACCAAAAAACTGCATTTCAAAATAATAATAAGTCATGTTTTAAGTGCACAACCCATGTAAATTGAAGCATAAAACAGAAACGTGAGGATCAAATTTTAAATGATATTCGCAAACAAAAAGAAAATGCTATAAAATCCGAAGAGCTTGAAATATATAGTTTATGAAAGACTTATGGATGTTGAGAGAAAGCAATATGTATATGAATCTTGAAATAGTTGTAGATATTCCCTAAATAACATGAATGAAGTTTTTGCAAGTTCATTGTCATTATATTGTGGTTATTCTAAATCTGATATTACGGGCAATTCCCAATATCTTTTCACATTACGGAAACTAAAGAAACTTTATGGGAAAATATTCTAATATCAACCTTAATCAATTACACACACAAGTCAATCTGGTAAATTCAGAAACCAAAATATAGATAATGAAGAATCGAGTATTGAAGATAGTAAATCCGAATCTGAAATTTACTCTTCATGAGGTATAAAAATTTTTTCATTATATTTCCATGTTTAAATAAATTTATTTATTAATTTATGTTTTAGCCGCTTGATTGTCTTAAAAAGTCAAATAATTTTCCCAAACAAAAAAAATGGCTTCGAAAGTATTGAATCGAACTTTAAACCTATTCAAAAAAATAGTAGATGACGTTAAACGAGCAAAAAAGCTTGTAGTGGACGTAGCAAAGTACCTTTTATTATGGATGAAAATGCGTTCTATACATTTGAATTGAGTGTAATTTGACTTATATCTTGTAGCGATAATTCCAATAAGTTGAATAAATATATATATATATAAAAAACTTCGATTATTTCTTCAAAAATCTTGTGATCTCGTGATTATATTATTCTAAAATCCTGATGAATCAGAACTTTAATATTGTCAGGATTTTAACCTGACGGCATTTTGGTACTGTCGGGATTTTGTTTTCTGGTTTTTGATTCTGAGGTAAAACCGTTACCATTTACACGATAAATTCAATAAATCGATATTATAAATTCGTTTAGTCAAAGCACAGCCAATCGAAATTTCAAAATCAATTTTATATCAGGATTAAGTTACTATTAAAGTTACGGCAAAATTATACGACTTCATTGTGCCGTAAGTAAGCTACGATGCCATAATTAAGGTCTGATCTGGCCAACAAATCAACCAGATATTCATTTGTTTAATTTCTTAAATATTCAGGCACCGGTCATATATAAATTCTAAGTAATAAATTAATTTTTTCAAAATCAACACAATTAACTTTTGTATGCTATTAAACCAAGCTGTTAAACATAAAGCTAAATTTTTCTTTGCTAATTTTCTTTAATATCATAATTTATCGAACAAAATCCAATCAATATACTTACTTCTATTCATCTATTCTGATATATATAGTATATATTATTTATTATACATAATGCTTTGAAGTTTAGAATTGCTAATTATGAATTGACAATTTGTTTTTTACGTATTACTGAACATCACTGAACATCGCTAGACCTTCTATCTAGTGTAAAAAAAAAACTGAATAGAGTGGTCTAGTGACAATATTTTTTAATTTAATCTAGTTAGTTCTAGTATTCTTTCTAGTTCCAGTAATTTTTACTAAAATAGTTTAGTAGCAATGCTGATCTAATACAAGTTCTTTTGTTATGGCCTTTAACACTAGCGATTATCAATTCATCTATTTGATAAACATCTAACACAAAAATGATTAATAAATAAATATACTGTAGAATAAAACACTTACGATAAAAAAAATCTCACTGTTTTAATACTTTTTTTTTTTATAAAAGAAGTTAGATTATATATTTTAAAAACGCGAATATATTAATAAATAAAAAAAAAAACGCGAAAATGATAGATCACACCAAAAAGTGTTTGAAAATCTTTAGCCGGGACTTCTAAGAACCTGCAAAAAAATACATTTACAAAAAATTCGTATCACTGTTTGAAACTATTCTAAATAGGAAAAACAAATATAACGATGTTAATCAGTTGTTAAAAAAAGTAGTGATTTTTTTTAAACAACTTTTATTAAATCAATTTTATACATATAAGCCAGTTAATAAAAGATTATTCTTAATCATTAAGCTAGAGCTGCTAGATTCCTGGGCTCAAAAAAAAAAACATCTAGAAAAAAAAATTAGAAGCGCCCAACGTGGGGGTCGAACCCACAACCTTGAGATTACTAGAATCCTAAGAGTCTCACGCTCTACCGATTGAGCTAGCCGGGCTTTCATGTCTTGAGAGTAATTATTATTTTTAATTATTCATTAAAAATTTACTTTTTGAGTGTCAACATCAAAAATAAATCGATTATCAATATCACTTCGAAAAATGTACTTTACACAAAAAAACTTTAGGACAGTACACCGTTTTCTAACACAATTCAACAATATATTTTACGCTCAAATTAATAAATTTCATTATAAAAGCCAAGTACAATGTCAGCTACAATGTCAGCTACCAAAACCAAAAATCTCGCACATTTTTTGTAGACATAAAAATATTAAACAATTGCATTCTGTTGTTCCTCTTCCTTATGCTGTAGATAATGGAATTCAACCGTTGTTCACAGAGAAAAGTCTTAAAGATTTAATTGATTTTCAATTCACTCTTGTTGATAATTTGAATAAACTTACTTCAGGTAACTTAAATGATTTTTTTTAAAATTCAATTTATAAAAAATTAATGATTTTTTTTTTCAGACACGGAATTTTCGGATTATACGATATATGAAATAATTACCAAAACTGCGCAAGAACCATCGAAAGCTTTAATATTTAATTATGCATCTCAGGCTTGGAACAACGATTTCTTTTTACAAGGGTTGGTTTGTATCTTCGCATGAACTTTTCATTCTTCTATCACCTTAAAATTCGTACTAAACTGTTCTTTATCAAAATCATAGACAACAAAAGGTGTGACATCTCCAGAAACGTTTCTTCACGAACGAATCAAACAAACGTTTGGATCAATAAGCGACTTTAAAACACACGTAAGTCTAATCTATTGGTTGTTATTTTTGACTTTCCACTCTGTAAAGTTCTAATCACTTAATTCACATGTTAATAAACAGTTTAAAAATATGGCATTGGGACTATTTGGTTCCGGATGGACATGGCAAGTAACTATAAATATTAAAGTTAGTAAAGATAAATGAATGCATTCTAATTGATTTATGTGTCAATAAGGCTTGTTGAAACTGAATTTAGGCAGCTCAGAGTGGTAAACACTTATAACGCAGGTGAAAAAAGATAATTTAAATATGACTAATCAATAAACTTAGACAATGATTTAACATTATTAATATATCATGCTATCACATTTAATTATAATTTTTTTACATCACATAGGCACAACTCTTGACACTACTCGTCTTCAAGAAAAAGATCCAAACAACCATCCGACAAGCCTTCTGTCATCTCCATTCTTGACTACTGCCTCACAAACGTCCTCACAGTTTGCTCAAAACGCCAGCTCTTCTAAGCCAGTTCCACCACCTTCCATAGCATTGAATTTGGTAGATCCACCACCACACAAATCTAAGTTCACTCCATTATTGTGCCTAAATGTTTGGGAGCATGCATATCTTAAAGATTTTGGAATTCATGGTAAAGAAACATATGTAGATCAGTTTTGGGAATGTGTTGATTGGGCGGTAGTGCATAATAGAGCCGTGTCACTGCGTGATATTCAAGGTTCCTAAGATGTTTGATATACATACAATATTAAAAATATGTGATTAACAATAATAATAATAATAATAAAATAAAAAATGTGTGGGGTAAGCTTAATTCCAAAGGACACAAAATTAACAAGACTACTATTTATAACGTTAAAATTTATATAGGTTCCATGTTTAGTTACGATTAAAGATACTGGTGAAGTAAATTGGAATTAATTTCATCACTATCTATTGAATTGGTGAAATTTGTAATTTTTATTGTTAAAAAGAAACCACGTTCTGTGTGCGAAGGAATTTAAACTACAAAGTTTTCAACGAAAATGCTGAATGCTATGAAACTAAATATTCTATGTAGGCAAATTATTTAGATAAGTAGATAAATATAAATATATAAATAACTCGCTAATAAAAAAAATTTTTTATAATGAACCTTTAATATTATAACCGATGTTTACTTTTGTTAGAAATTTAATAATTATTTATATAAATAAATTGGTTTGCCTATAATGACTACTGATGCATTTATATAAAGTCAACTAGTGATGCAGGAAGAACTTGAGACATTGGGATGGGCTGTACCATAGTTTTTTGCTTTAAATTACGGCAAGCTATAACTTGCGTATATATCGATAAATTATTCAAGTTATAACTTTACAGTATATAACTTATAATTACAAAAAACAAAATAACTATGTAATAAACTATATACAGTATACAGTATATTATAATGGAGAAATAAAAATTGTTATTATAATATTAACAATAAAAAAAATTTATTAAACAAGATAATACTAATAACTAGTGCTAAAAAAAAAATAAATTAATAAATTAGATAATACTAAAAGCAAAAAAGAATAGTATTATAAAAAAAATATTAAATAGCTTATACTGTACTACTGTATATAGCAATAAGAAAAGTATTAACTAGACAATATTAATACAAAAAAAATTATATTACAAAAACATATATATATACCAAAATAAATAATACTAGTAATAAAAATACTAGTTTTAAAATTAAATAATACAATATACTGTATACTTGTTTATATATGGGGTTGAGTTTTTTTTAATAAGTTTTTTAAAAACTTTAAACAAGGATAACTTAACAAAAACTTAATCAAATTTAATAAATTAATTCTACAAGTTTGTAAAAATTATTTAAAAAAATTTATTAAATTTTGTCAAGGTTTCATTAAGTTATTCTTGTTTAAGGTTATAAAAAAATTTTATTATAAAAATTTTGCTTGATTTCTATTGACTCACCCCATATATTTAGCAATAAATACAGTAATTATATATATAAATTATCCAACAAAACTATGAGCAAGACTCACCTTAATAATAACAAATAATAATAATAATAATGATGATAATTGTCTTATATAGATTATTTTTGATTAATAAAATTTTATATATTAAAATATAATATAGGTATATAGTATAGATATTATTTTTTTCTAAAAAATAAGGTTGATAATTTATTATCAAGTAATCGCGTCACATATTATGCAATTTATACGTATTATTTAATTTGCAATGATTATCGTAGTTTTGATTATTTTAAACAAATTATGCATTTCCTAATGCAACAGCAGTTTTACTCTTTACGTAGAAAGGACCCTCATGTAAATATTGCCTAAACTTTTCCAGAATGTTAGGTGCAATAAGAGTTTCAGCATCCGGTGATTCGTACAACGTTTGAATAATGGCAAATTTCCATTCCTTTCCCTTGTAAGTGGACTCAGTAGAACGATCAATTATATAATCAATGAATTCGTGACTGTTTGTCATTTCAGTTTTACCCCATGGATGCAAAGCCACTTTTTGTAAAATTGCAAAACTGCACATACGTAATTCTTCAATTCCATGTTTAACATTTGAGACTAAAGACATGATGGGTGTTGGGTTACCTAAATAAAACGATCAAGATAAGTAATTTAGAAATATATGCAGGTTAAGTGCTATGAAAAGGGAGAAATTGACAAATAATAACCGCAGAAATCAAATTTTAAGAAGTGACATTGCAAGGTTTTATTTACATAACTACTCTTCTGTCTTATACAATAACTAATTCTAAGGTTATTTTAAATTGATTTATAAAAAAACTTTTCGGTTGTTGATTTTCCCTTTTCAATGCCTATATAATAATCGACTATGAATATAGCATGATTAAAAATCCATTCGACTGGTTGTCGATCCTTGAACTTTTGGTGGTCGTTTAGGGTAAACGTCCTATATGAAAATACAATTGATCATATAAATATCACTGAAAAATCTGATTCGTCTTGTCAGAAGCAAGTAACGTTGGAGACTGTTCATTATGTAAATTTGATACTATTTGAAAGTAACAAATTTTACAATGAATAGCCAACGAAACTTTAAAGAAATTTTGCTCAACGTTATTTGCTTCTGGCAAGTTTGATATAATCAGATTCATTGACGATTTTTTCATATTATTGATTGTATTTCATATAGGATGTTATTAAAACATCGACAGTTAATCGAATTGATTTTTAATCATGCTATTATGAATAGAATGAGACTTTGATTGTTCCACGTACCTCCCATTTGGCGATAGATTTGCTCAGAAATATCAGACAGTTCTTGAGTCGGTCTTTCACTATTGCATTATATTTATCAAATTCTATTCGCAAACCATGATGTCTAAAATGTAGAGTTACATACATACCTTACGCCTAGTAAGCACGATATTGTCTGTAAACATGCCAACTTCACATCACTTGACGAACTGTGATAAAGATCCATAAAATCTCCTAGCAAATTAGGTGACGCACTCGAGTACAAGAGCTTCAGACCTCGTTCTTTATGGCCTATCACTCCAATAATATGGATTGAAGTAATCTTGAGCCAATAATAAAATATTAGTAAAACTGTTGAAAGGATTTATCAATAAATTGACACACTTACTTTGAGATCCATATTATCACTCAACAAGTGTGCATCAATTTGCCTCAAAATTTTGAATTTACCTTCCACTTCAGAGAATTCTATCTCCTGAAAATGACACTCGAATCAATAAATTTAATGGATACAATAATAATAAGATAATCGAGCAATTGCAAACCTCTACTTCACATAATTTCCCAAAAAATTTGAGTACAGCACATTTCACTAAAACTAGCGTAATGTCTAGATCGTCATCCTTTGATAAAATATCAATAAGGAATTGTAGAATTCCAGCCTTTTCAAAAAAGGAATAACCAATTTGACTTTGAATAATCTTATTTTAAAGACAATAAACGTCAATTGTGAATATATATACGGGTCAAATAAAAATGTATTATGTATAGTAACCTTTGATAGAGTCTCTATTGCATTTAATTTTATCAATAAATCATCAGATTTTAATTCAGATGTTATCGCTTCGAGGGAACCAGATGATTCGCATAATTGAAATGCTTCTGGTGAAGATAGTGAGATCCGAGCAATCAGATCAAACACACGAAATTTTACAACTCCGTCACTAAATTTGTTGAGATGGAATGAAAATCAAACCGTTGGTAATTGGGAACTGGTATATGACAAAGATTATTACCCTTTGGAAAGTTTATCTAGAACGGCTATTGATTCAGGATCGAAGAAAGCCTGTAAAGAATAAGAACTAGCCGTAATAATCTAAATTTATATAATAATATTATTATGAATTTATCGATAATTAAATTATTCTAATATCAGATAATAAGCTCTTTACGAAACTTTGACAAGAATTTCCAATATCCTAGTTGATGTCGGTATATCGTCAGACCCCAAACACTCCAACATAACAGGAAATAGAGGCGATTTAACCTATGTGATATGATTCGAAAACTAAATAAAAATTTATCTTCATGCTTCATAACATTCTAAATATATATGTAGTTTAAGATACCAAATCTTGAATCGCTTCTTCTGAATACTGACATTTTTCAATTTGATTTAGCGTCAGAATTCGAACTTCGGGAAATTCATGCTGCAAACCTAGGATCAAATATTCCTAGATCAAATATTTAATAACATAAAATTCAACTATTGAACTCGATTAAAAGCTAAGATTTATTGGAATAAAACCTGAAGTCCCGATGAATTAATATCAACATAGCTCATGGGCTGCAAAAGTTTATTGAGAACTTTACAGGCAGCCGAAGTAACCGCGTCTTCATAAGTTCCAAAAAGCGCGAAAAACTCTGGAAATTGGTATGGCTGCAAGAATAGCTTGAGCCCTTTGGGTTCCATTAGGACCTAGCAAACAAGTTATAATGAAATAATACAGGTATAACCTTAACATATATCATTCGCTAATTTTTTGTAGCACGCAGTTGCACACAAGTGAGTGCACTCACCGTCAAGCGATAAATTCATGAGCTCCAAAGCATTGATTAAGTCAGCATGATCAATTTTGCCAGGCGATCGCAAAAAGTCCTTTACTGTATCAATGTCAGTCATATTAACAAGATAATATTACAAATATTTTTAGTCGTTGGCGCGAGAATTGTAAACGTGTAGTGCTATAACGTAATGTTGCGACTTACCATTACCTAATATGTAACGTGTAATCGACCAATCAAATCTTGCCTAAATATAAATTATAATTCCAAGGCTGGCATAACAATATCGCCTCGTTATGCAAAATTCTCTAATACTTATCAGTTTATCACCAACACGTTCTTTTCAAATCTTTTTGTATTTTATGAATCTCATTATCTGATATTTTTTGTACTTCGCGAAACTACCGTTGCTAGAATCTTTTTACTCGAAAATTTGCATTTAAATATATATACACATGAATACCAAAAACCAGCCTCTCGATCTGGATCCATAAAATTAACGGGAATTTTACCGCAATCCAAATATAAAAGTTCCTTATGATTGGCAAAGTAAAATTACTAACCAATAAAATTTGCGTATTTGGTTTATGTAACTTCTATCCTTGACTTTTTAAGAACAAAAGTTTTAGCCTATTTGGGGATTTGGGTTTTAGTGATTCAAAGTAAAAATTTCGATTTATTTCGACCATTTTAGGTCATTTGAACAAAATTTCGAAGAAATTTCTTCGATAACTAGGGTTTGAACCAGTTTTTAATATTTAAAATCGGTTCTAACTGGTTTTTATTCTATGTTTTTCGGTTGGTCCAATCCAGTTTTTAAAAATTTCCGTGCCCCTGAAACCGGCACAGAATCCGTTTTTCTCTTTGTTGATTCGTCGATCTGCATGTGACCAAAAATGAAACTTTCAAATATTTTTTTGCATTTCATATATATGCAATATTCCTGTATTCCGAAGATACACATTTATTCTATGTTCATTTCGATATAGAATTTGAAAGTATGAAGCTCGTAAGGTAAAACAGAGTCCCATGTAAAGCTAGTTTTTATGATGATTCAACGTTAACTAAAAAAAAAAAAGAATCTCTCGGTTTTCGTTTCATAAAAGTTCATACGCGTTAGTAGTTTTTAATATCTGTAATATATCATTAGATTTTTAATGAAATTAAATAACGAAACCGTCACGATAGAACTCAAAAATGGAACAATAGTACATGGAACCATTACTGGTATATATACATATATATAATTAAGTCAATCTTTTGCTTTAAGCTAATCTTTTTAATCTAAAGGGGTTGATATGAGCATGAATACCCACCTTAAAACTGTCAAAATGACCGTGAAAAACAAGGATCCCGTCAATTTGGATTCCTTGAGTATTAGGGGGAATAATATTCGGTATTACATTTTACCGGAGTCTCTCCAGCTTGATACACTGTTGGTTGATGATACGCCAAAGGCTAAGGCTAAAAAGAAAGAAAGTGCGTCTCAATGTTCATAAGATGTTTGATTTTAAGTGAATTGTCATTAATTATTTAATGATTTAATAATATACTATTTTTAACTAATTATAGCCGTAGGTGTTGGTCGTGGTCGCGGCGGACGCGGGCGTGGTTCTCGTGGACGAGGACGCGGACGTGGACGCTAAGAAAGGGAACTAGCACTACACGCGGCATCGTGTATCACATTTATCATAAATCATTCAAAATAATAAATATCAGAAACAATGCAACAAAATATTATGTATTTATGATATAAAAACTGCCTAATTAGCATATTCAAATTTGCCTATATAAATTGATAAGTATGTTAGTAATATTATGAAATAAATAATATTTTTGTTGATTTTGTTTCGTTTTGTACCTGTTTTATTAATAAAATTATGCTTAACCTTATAATCGTCACATAGATGCTCACCACATTGAGCTTAATCACATACGCCATAACGGTTGCTCTTTAGTTATATATAATAATAAGTATAGATTTGGTTTTTATACGCTCTTATCCGACATTTTATATAATCGTGTGACTTTTTTTGCCTTGACATTTTTGGCACGAGACTACGTAATTATTTGTGCAGAAAACAAAAATTTACACTATTATAATATATTGGATAACAATATTGGGCATACGATATTGGAGTGTACAACATCAGTTTAATTACAAACATAGTGCAGGTCATAATCAAAAGATTTTTTATAGTGTACTGTAGATCAACGACAATTTAATAGTAAAAACATAGAAGTTCAAGCTGCAATCTTGATCTTTAACCAGAAAACTCGCACAAATAAAATTATATTTGTCGAGTTCGTTATACTGTGCTTTTTAAAGTAATAACGCTCTTTTTTTTTTTTTTTTATTGTCTGGAGCGGGGGAAATAATGTAATACCAAAATTCTCGTTTTTGATTTTTGTTAATAAAATATCAAAAACGTAGTTATTGCATATTGTGTCATGATATGCACATAAAATTCGAAGGTACATTTTTGATGTTTTTTATTAATGATAAATCAAAAACGAAAATATTGGTATTGCATTATTCCCCCCGCAGGCAATAAAAATAAAATAAAAAATAGAGCGTTATTACTTTAAAGAGTACATTATAACGAACCCGGTAAATATAATTTTATTTATGTGGGTTTGCTGGTTCAAGATTGCAGCTTGAAGTTTCTATGTTTTTACTATTAAATTGTCGTTGACTATAATGACCTGCCTGCACTGTTTGTAATTAGACTGATGTTGTACACCCCAATACGATATGTAACAGAAAATTTCTTCATCGAAGTTAACGTCATTCATGTGCTGCCACGCGACATATGGGAATGACATTAACTCAAAAAAAAGTTCCTGCTATTTTCTATTGTCTGTCCAAGATTGTATACTTATTTGTCATATTATCTCTTAATTTAGACAGAATTTTATTATAAACTTGGTTTTGATTTTTAAGGATTAAATTATTCAAAGCATAGTATATAAGATTGTACTAGGAATTCTGAATCTGATGGAAGTCCGAAGCAAAAAAGTCAGCGTTTGTTATGCTTGAAAGCGTGGACATTTCTCCAGTCAAGAGTAGCTATTTCTTACTTCGTCGCTTACGGCTATGCGTGTTGTTATTTCATGTTCTAATGTCCGCACCCTTAGTTATCATTATGCTGACTTACGGAGACCATCAATTCATGAATTTGATTGGTTAGAGCCACTTAATATGAATGTGTATTTAGTTTGCCTAGCTTAAATGTTCTCCGGACAACAAAAATAATTTTTTGATAATAAATATATTAATACTGAACAACACGATATTTACTATTTAATAGTAATTCTTGATTTATTAGGATTAGTGATTATTTTTCACCGTGATAGATGTCGCACAAATATATATATATATATAAATAGCGCGAATAAAAAAACGATATAGCAAAGCAGGCTACGCAGAATAGGATTATAAATTGTGCGATATTCTCACAAAAAATTGAACTAAAAATAAACCAGCTTTAGCTATTGTATACTGTTTATAAAAACAGTATTAACATTATACTATATATTATATTTTATTAAATAAAATCAAATTTTTATTTTTATTTTATTTTTTTTTAATATTAAGGTGACCACTTAGGCCCTTGGCACTTTATTAGTACAAGCGGTAGGCCAATGTTAA